GCAGACTTGTATACCCTTACTAAGAATGGGAGTTTTGTGGGAAAGGGATATGCATGTAATGGGATGTTCAAGTTGAATGTCGAAATTAATAAGATGAATTATTCAGTTTACATGGTGTGTGATTTGAATGTTTGGCATGCTCGTCTTTGTCATCTGAACACACGAATTATGAAGAATTTAAGCAAGCTAGGACATATCCCTAAACTCTCAATGAATGAATTTGATAAATGTGATTTCTGTAGCCAAGCTAAAATAACGAAAACGCCCCATAAATATGTGAGTAGAGTATCAGAACCCTTAGATCTGATTCATTCTGATATTTGTGAAATAGATGGGACGTTAACTAGGTCTGGCAAGAGATACTTTATCACTTTCATAGATGATTGCTCTGATTATTGCATTGTTTATTTGATGAAAAACAAAAGTGAAGCCCTTGATATGTTCAAGGTATTTGTGGTTGAATTTGAAAATCAGTGCAATCGAAAGATAAAAAGACTTAGGAGTGATAGAGGATCAGAGTATCACTCTAATCCTTTCAAGGAATTCTATAGCTCACATGGTATCATTCATGAAACCACGACACCATATTCACCAGAAAAGAATGGTAAAGCTGAGCGGAAAAATAGGACATTTACAGAATTAGTTGTGGCTATTATGCTCAATTCTGGAGCTGCTTCTTCTTGGTGGGGTGATATTTTGTTGACGGTTTGCTATGTGCTAAATCGTCTTCCAAAACAAATAGAAAAGAATCACCCTATGAGATCTTGAAGAATAAGCCACCTAATCTGTCCTATTTAAGAACGTGGGGATGTTTGGCCTACGTAAGAATTCCGGATCCTAAGAGGATTAAGTTGGCTAGTCGAGCATATGAATGTGTCTTCGTTGGCTATGAGGCCAATAGTAAGGCATATAGATTCTATGATTTGAATGCTCGTACTATAATAGAATCCATTGCTGCTGATTTCTTTGAGACACGATTTCCATTTAAAAAGAGAAATAGTGGGGGGTAATGTACTACCCGCTATTAGAGATAACGGAACTAATGGGGGTGTTGGATCTGAGGATGAACTCAGAAGAAGTAAAAGGGCTAGAATCTCTAAAGATTTTGGTGATAATTTTACTACAGTATACACCCTCGAGGATCCAAAAAGTTTGCAGGAAGCATTAACTTTCATAGATGCAGACTTTTGGAATGAGGTCGTTATAGATTAAATGGAATCGTTAGAGACTAATAAGACTTGGCATCTAACAGACTTACCTCCTGGCTGCAAAGTCTTAGGTAATAAATGGGTTCTAAAAATGAAATGAAAGCCTGATGGGGCAATCGAAAGGTTCTGAGCTCGCCTAGTAGTTAAGGGCTACAGGAAGAGAGAGAATATAGATTTCTTCGATATTTATTCACCAGTATCTAGGATAACATCCATTCGTGTCATGATTGCTCTTGCTGCCTTGAACAATCTCGTGGTACACCAAATGGATGTTAAGACTGCTTTTTTGAACGGTGATCTAGATGAAGAAATCTATATGGAACAACCAGAAGGGTTTGTTACCCCCGAACATGCCTCGAAAGTCTATAAGTTAGACAAATCATTATATGGTTTGAAACAGGCTCCAAAACAGTGGCATGATAAGTTTGACACTCTCGTTCTCTCACATGGCTTTAAGGTGAATGAAAGTGACAAGTGTATTTGCTGCAAGTCAGAGAATAACACTTGTACTATCATATGTTTGTATGTAGATGACATGTTAATATTTGGTACAAATATTCACGTGGTCAATGAAGCGAAAGCCATGTTAAAAGAGAGCTTTGAGGTGAAAGATCTGGGAGAAGCGAAGTTTATGTTTGGAATCCAGATAACTAGAACAACAAATGGTTATTCTCTAGATCAATCTAGCTACATAGAGAAGATCTTGAAGAAATATAACTATTTCGACTGTAAACCTGCGTGTACTCCGTATGATGCTAGTGTAAAGCTATTTAAGAACACTGGAGACAGTGTAAGACAATCAGAATATGCTAGCACGTTGGTAGTCTCCGTTATGCTGCGGATTACACTCGACCAGACATTGCATATGTCGTGGGATTGTTTGGCAGGTTTAACAACTGTCCTAGTAGAGAGCATTGGAATGCTATAGAGAGGGTCATGAGATATCTCAAGAGAACAGCAAACCTTGGTATACACTATCAAAGGTTTCCCGCTGTACTAGAAGGGTATAGTGATGCGGATTGGAATACCCTATCAGATGACTCCAAGGCAACCAGCGGGTATGTTTTTAACATCGCTGGTGGAGCTGTGTTTTGGAAGTCAAAGAAACAAACAATCCTAGCTCAATCAACTATGGAATCAGAGATGATAGCACTAGCAACGGGTAGTGAAGAAGCAAGTTGGTTGAGAGGATTGTTGTCAGAGATCCCCTATGGGAAAGTCCGGTCCCTCCGGTATTGATACATTGTGATAGTACCGCAGCTATCGCTAAAGTTGAGAATCAGTTCTATAACAGAAAGAAACGACAGATTCGTCGTAAGCACAGTACTGTAAGAGAACTCCTAACGATAGGAGCAGTGAGGGTGGATCATATAAGATCCGAACAGAATCTAGCTGATCCTTTGACGAAAGGATTACCTAGAGAGAAAGTCCAGAATACCGCCAAGGGTATGGGACTTATGCCTACCGAACCACAGACTACAAGTGATGGTAACCCGACCCAATAGACTGGAGATCCGAAGAAATGGGTTCAATGGGTAATAACAAGTCATGAGTAGTATGCAAAAAGTTCATGCATAGTGAAGCATGAATCCCAAAGCAATGGAGGTTGAGTTAATAACTCTTAATGAGATCTATACCCTATGTGGGGTGGAGTACTTTACTTTGGGGGTACTCCTGATAGACTCACCTATGTGAATGTGGGAGTGGGGCCGCTTCCAATGGAACTTTGGAGGTACAAAGTTGCTAGAGCGTTCACTAAACTAGGATAACGTGCATGGCCATAAACGCACGGGCTAAGAAGAGAACACAACTCAATGAAAAGATCCGGTGTGCTACACTGTCTGAGATAGGGTTCAAGACTACGAGTCACCCTTATGAAATCGGAAGTGTAACCACTAGGCTAAGGTTCAAATCTTCGCGATACCTTAGCTTATGCCCGATCTTATGGAATTGTTGATGCTCAGAGATAGTTTCAAAACTATTCAAGTGGGGGATTGTTGGAAATGTATATATGAATAGCTTTGAAAGCTATAGAGTCTCAAGTGGAAAAACTACCACATTGGTAGTTTTACTTGGTGAAATGTGTATAAAGATAGGAGCCTCTCTCCTAAGGGCATGCCCCTTGGGGTGACCCACTTTTGTGGGAGAGGGAGGACCTAACGGACCACCACACACACGCGCGCCATCCGTCCGACCGACCGGTCGGTTGGTTGGTTGGTTCACTTGAGACTATATATATATATTTTGGAGAAATTCCGAATGAAATTAATTATCTAATTCTAAGGATAATCGACTAAAAAGGAATATTCGAATGATAATCCCGCAGGATTTATCTTAACCGACGGTTTTAATTAAGGAAGTAATTATCTTCCTTAATTAATCTGACTTATTCGCCAAGCAAGAGGGTATATTCCTAGGGGTTCAGCTCCTATAAATAGCCGCCTCCCCAGCCCCTCTAAACATATCACAACGAGCATAAACACAATAGAGAGAGTGTTCAGAGAGCTCCGGTTTTCGCACAAAACCGCGATTATTGAGAGGAGCTGTTTGTGAGAACCACGGATCTAGGCGTGCGATTTAGGAATTGAACGAATTAGGGATTTGGGAATTTAGGTGAGAAAGAATTGGGAATTGGATGAGAGAGAAGGCAGAGTCGGGTTCTCGGAGAGGGAAGTGGCCGACGGTGAGGTGAGAGGAAGAGGGTTCGGCCAAGGCTAGGTGAGAGAGAGAGAGTTTGGGAACAATTATGTATTATTGCTTGCCCTTGACCTAACATAACATGATATATACATATAAACCGACTATTTCCTATTTACTACCTGAATAATTAACCTAACCGAATAAACCCTCATAATTCCTATCTTAACATAATATCCGAATAATACGCAAATAACAAATAGACCCCCAATAAATATGTTTCTCACAACCCATCCCCCTTGAAACCCACCTTGCCCTCAAGGTGGGCCTTCTTTCTTGTCGTTATCCTTCATTTCCCCTCCTTCCACTTCGAGCTCCATCTCCTCACCTTCATCTTCCCAATTCCCGACCAGCAGCATTAAGTGCCCTTTTGCGCACTGATGTCCCACTGTATATCTCTCATCACAGTTGAAACAACGCCATCCCTGCGCTTCTGATCCATCTCCGCCTGAGTCAACCTCATGAAGCCGCGCGGCGGCGCCCTCATCGGAAATCGGGTCCCGACTGCAGCCCCTGCTGTGGGTGGACTTGACGCTGCAACCGACGATGTCACTGTCCCAGCACCTGCGCCGCTAATCGCTCCCCCACTGGCTTTCTGCATCCTACCCACGGATGATCTCCAACTGGCCAGCTCCTCCTCCTTCCGGCCTGCAAGTCTAAAAGCCACACGAAGAGAGTCAGGTTCAAAAACCTTGACTGCAGTGGCCAGCTCTGGTCGCAGTCCGGCCATGCACAACCCCACCAGTGTCTCCTTGGTCATCTCCTTGCACTGATTGGCCAGTTTCAAGAACTCGGCCCTATACTCTGCCACGGACCCTGTCTGCTTCAGCTTGGCCAACTGCTCTGGTGCCCATCCCTCTGCCTTGCCGAACTGGTACCGGAGCTCCTCCTGAAACCAAGCCCAAGAGATGCCCTCGCCTGTTGCCGCATATGCTCGCTCAGTCCATTCCCACCACTGGAGGGCATCCCCTTCCAAATAGAAGGACGCCAGATGTGCCTTCCGTTCTGCTCTGATCGGGTGGTTCTTAAACCACCTCTCCGCCGCATACAGTCATAACCCCACATCACCTGTACCATCAAATTTTGGAAATTCAATCACCAGGGTTTAGCTCTGATCACCAGCTCATCATCATAATCATATAGTGGGTTGTTGTATCCATACCTGTTGCCATCTGACGGTTGCATTGGGCGTCCTGTCCCATAGTGCCGGTACTCGTGGTCCGCGTTCCGCCTCTCCGAATAGGCCCCGTCATCCATCTCGCGCTGATAGCCTTCCTCTTCGCCAGGCTTGATTCCGGATCCCTGTCCCTCCTCCATCCGGCACCCCCGGCGCCCGTAATTCCTTCGTGGAGTGCCCCACGGCGGATAGCCTGACTCTGGACCGGGTCTCTCGCGCCCGGGCCCGCCATTTGACCCATTCCAGCCGCTGCCCGACGGAAAGCGCCCCGGTTCGGGTCGATTCGGCCCGGTTCGACTCGGTTCGGTCCAACCAATTCCGGTCCGACCGAAGCTAGTTCGACTGGCCATTGACCCAACTGGCCGACCGGCTTGGTCCATCATTGGGTCAGCCGCCCAATCCTGATCGGGCCCATCTCTCACTCTTCTTGGTCCGCGAAGCTCATCTCCTCATAGTTCGGGCCCCATTCTTCAAACTCGACCATCTTCTTCTTCCCGCGGGCCTCCGCAATTTCCTGGGCCGTTGGAGCAGGCAGCAGGCTCGGCCCACTAAAGGCTGGCGCAGCCCGCTCTCCTCCGCCCGCTCCCCCGACCGCCCTCGGCCCAAGGGCTCGGCCTTCCCTGTGCCCTGCCGGCCCTGACGGTCTGGCGGCTGCCGCCCCTGTCCCGCCGCCAGCCAGGCTCCCCGGCGCCGCGGCTCCCCTGCCGGTTGCCGCACCCTTCGGCCTGGCCGCCGCCGTCGCCGAGGCGCCGCCTGCACCCCCAACCACCACCGAGGCTCCAGTCGAGCCCCCCGCCTCACCGCCGGTCGCGCCTGCCGCTGTGTCGCCCTTCGCGCCCGCCGCAGCTCCTGGCGGGCTGGCCTACGGTGTTGCGGCCGCGCCCAACACCGCCTCCGCCATCATCTTCACCACCGCGGGGCGGTTCCCAGAGGTTGGTTCACGGCCCTGCAAAACGCCGATCAAGACCTCCTTCATTGTGTCTGCTAGGGCCTGGCACAGCTTCTCCGTCACTGTCTTGCCCATCTCCTCAATCGAGGTGGTGATCCGCCCTCCCAGCGCCACTAGGGCCCCGGTCGAGTCCCGCGAGGCAGTCGCTGCCCTCTTTGTGGACTCCGTTAGGCTTTCCAGCGTCGTGACGATCGTGTCATATTTGTTCGTCGTTATGTCCTTCACGGTCACGATCTCCTTACCCTGCTTCTGTTGCTGCGGTTTGTCCATGTTCGACATCCTCAACTTCTGCAGAATTCAACAATCAACACGAGAGCCAGGCTCTGATACCACTGTGAGAACCACGGATCTAGGCGTGCGATTTAGGGATTGAACGAATTAGGGATTTGGGAATTTAGGTGAGAAAGAATTGGGAATTGGATGAGAGAGAAGGCAGAGTCGGGTTCCCGGAGAGGGAAGTGGCCGACGGTGAGGTGAGAGGAAGAGGGTTCGGCCAAGGCTAGGTGAGAGAGAGAGAGAGAGAGAGAGAGAGTTTGGGAACAATTCTGTATTATTGCTTGCCCTTCACCTAACATAACATGATATATATATATAAACCGACTATTTCCAGTTTACTACCCGAATAATTAACCTAACCGAATAAACCCTCATAATTCCTATCTTAACATAATATCCGAATAATACGCAAATAACAAATAGACCCCCAATAAATATGTTTCTCACACTGTTTTATCCTGGAGACGACCGGTTGATAGTTTGTCGTGCGCATCGAAGGCAGTGCCGCGAACGTCTTAAATCGAAGTGGGTAGCTCCAGTAGACCCATAGATCATGGAACAAATAGGGTGGAGAACGACCTAGTCTGCGACTCAGCTTCAAATTCGGTAACCTAGTTCTTGTTGTTGTTCCGTTCCTAACATATACTAATTATATATCAACCCAAATGATGAACGGAGACTAAAAAGGAACTGTTACGTTAACTTGGCCTACAACCTAAGGTTTGTTTGTTGAGGGGGGAAAGTAAAGTCGACAAAGGACAAGATCCCCTCGTCGATCGGCTCATTATATTAGCCGTTCGTTGTTCACTGTTTCATCGGAAAAGAGAATCACCAAAGTCCAAACCCTACGTCCCTCGCGCCTCTGTCTCATGGGGCCGGCCGGTCAATTCCGGTTTCAGCCCCAATTTGAGGTCGCCATCGGTGGATCGATAACACCGCATACTGTTGTTAGGTGATTGCTAGCCTAGTAGGATAGATCGTGGTTGTGCCGACTGCCGACCTTTTTGTTGTTATCTTGTCATCATGTTACTATGCTTAGTTGTTCTCTAGCTAGTTCCTAGGAGGCTAGGAAGTGGTAGATGTGGGAATGGGAAGTGTGTCTTGTGGTCATAGGATTAGGGAAAGTCGTTAATATACATTACCTATTTCAAACCCGGCCACTTCATGCATCAATCAAATGAAAGATTGATTCTGGTTACTTGGAAAATGACTCTACTCTTCTAAATTAGTCTGGAGAATTAGCTTAATGTAGATGACTCTTTTAAATTAGTCAAAACTTAAGTCCTTTGTTCCTTTTATACTCTTGTTTTTTTTTTCGAGATTTTCCAATCAACATAACACCTGAATTCAAGATTAAGTGCTATAACAAAATTACATATCCTAGCTTTCATCTTGTTGAGCCTACTTGCTAAACATTATTAATTCATTTAACTCTTTAAAATAACAAGTTCAAATTTACTATTTCATATAATCACATCACAAGGGGTGATCTTTTTGTAATTAACCAAAAATTGAAGGAGTTTTTGTGTCATTACGGTTCTAATTAATTAACTTATGACAATTGAGCCTGAATAAAACCCAAACCAATGAGTATTCGCCATGATACGTTAAAGCGATTTGACAGCGGTGTTTACTAATTTTGGGTCGATGTTTACGAATTTTGGTTCAACAACGAGATTTACACGCTTAAATCGACCCAGCTAAAGCGAGTTCAACCAGGTGTTTACGAATTTTGGGTCGACAACGAATTTTACACGCTTAAATCAATGGATTTTCGACCTAATGTCGACCCGGTTAAAGCGAGTTGAACTCAGTATTATCGAATTTTGGTCGAGCAAGTTTTTTGTACTTGGTGATCTATTGATTATTTTTTTCTTTCGCTTATCGATCACGGGTACGGTCGTTTTGCTTTTTTGTTGTTGTCTCTCTGACTCCTTATGACACAACACCTAACAATGGCCAAGCGTAACCAATGGAAGGGACTGCAGTATAGTGGCTCAAGTGATAAATATCGAATCCACGGGTCTCTAGAGTTACTATTACTCAGCTTCAGTTTATTATTTAGCAAACCAGATCAAGATAAAAGAACTAAAACTACTCTAGCAAACTACAGTTAAAGTTAATCTAATTACAGGTTGGGAACTCACTTAGATATGATTCCCCCTAGCCACTAGCCAGACTAACGATTGATGATTTCTAACTTGTTTCACTTTCATTCACAATGCGGAGAATCCTTGACTAGACCTTGAGTCTCGACTAAAGGAACAAGGCCCTCTTGAGTCAATTGCCTAGAGGGACGTATCCTTCTCTAGAACAACTAATCAAGGCGTTCTGAACTAGACTCCCTCTATCGAAAGAGGTTCTCAATCGATACAGAGCAGTGAATCAACCCTCGACTAAAGCAATCGATCCACTACTATCAATCTATGGTGCTCTATTGACCTAATCAAGTATTCCCTCTCATAAGATCAAAGCAGAATCAATAATCTCGACTAAAGCAGAATTGAATCATGAAAACATGCATAGATTGAATATGAACTCAAGATAATCAAGTCAGAGTACTCATACAATCATCCAATCAAACAAACATAGCTAGGGTTCCTCAAAACCTAAGTGAAGGGAAGTTACTCCATAGAGAAGAGAGAGACTGCAGTAAGAATCTTCAGATGATCAGTCTTCAAGTCCGGGCTTCTTCCTCGAGCTTTCAAGGCAAAGAAATCCTCCAATTCCACTCCAAGAATGCCCTCAAATCGCCCTCTCTCTCTTTGGTTCGTCCCTTGGGTGTTTGGGATCCAAAACCCAGCTCTCCCCTTTCCTTTTGGCTGAAAATCTGCTTAAAAGGGCATCAGTGGCCAAAGCACGGTCGAGGGCACGGTCGTGTAATGCCTCAGCCCGCCCGTGCTTTGGCTAGGGTTAATTACACGGCCAGTGCATTGGGAGAAACACGGTCGTGCTTTGGAGAGAACACGGCCGTGCTTTGGGAGAACACGGCCGTGCTTTCAGCCCGTGTAATCAGCTCATGTTTGCCAAACTCGAATTAGCTCTCGGCAGTAAAAGCACGGCCACAGAACACGGCCGTGTTTTGGAGAGAACACGGCCGTGCTTTGGGAGAACACGGCCGTGTAATGAATTAGGTGTGCCCGTGTTTTGGCTCCAGCTCGACGAAATGACTTCCGAATGCCCCGAAACTCGTGCTTAGCCTTTCCTTTGACGCCTGGGACCTGAAATATGACAAAATAGCACAACCCGGCGTAAAATAGGCCAAAAGTACACGACTATGCCCCTCAAACGGGTAAGAACTAGGGGCACAAATATGTGCAATTACATCGTTATCACTCTCCCTTGCAGATGATTTTTTTTTTTACACTTTGGGGATGTCTTTCACTTATCGTTCACAGTTAGTCAATGATTTTGGACACTTTGGGGATTGTCTTTCGCTTACCGTTCACAGTTAGTCATTTGACCGGATTTTTACACGCTTAAATCAATGGGTACTCAAACAAGTTTTTTGTACTTGGTAATATATACGTTTTTCTTACCCTAATGATCTATTGATTATTCTGTCATTCGCTTATCGATCATTGTTATGGTCGTGTTACATTTTTTTGTCTCCCCCTTGCCGATAGTTTTTGACACTTTGGTGATTGTCCTTCAGTAGTTATCGACTTATCGTTAACGGTCAGTCATTTGACCGGGTTTTTACACGCTTAAATCATGCTTAGTAATGGAGGCTTCCAAGACTTGAACATAAAATTTCTTAGTTGATAAAAACTTTTTGTACCGTGCATATAAAAAAATCAGTTAATATTATAAACTCCGAGTGATTATGAAGAGATAGAGTTATAGAGAGATGAATCGTTATAATTTTTTACGAGAGTGATTTAGGTTTAAATTTTGTTATTAGATACTACTGAA